GCTCTCTAAATGCAAATTCTATGTTACAGAAATAGAATATTTAAGATTTATAATTAATAAAGAAGAAATAAAGATTAACTTAGCTAAAGTATAAAAAGTACTTAAATAGCTAGAACCTATAATAGTTAAAGAAGTTAAAGAATTTCTTAGACTATTAAAATATATTAGATAAATAATTAAAAACTACTTAAAGATTACTATACCTTTAATAAACACTACTACTAAAGAGAGAGCAATAGTAAAGTTTATTTAGACTTTAAAAATAAATAAAGCATTTATAGCTCTAAAATAAGCTATAATAGCTAAAATAGTGTTAAAGATGTATAATCTATAGCTAGACACTAAGATTTACACAGATGCATCTCTAGAAGCTAGTAGAGCTGCGTTTTACTAAAAATAAGAAGACAGAAAATAGCACCTAGTAGCATACTATTTTGCTAAGTTTTTAGGACCTAAAGCAGGATACAGCATACCTAATAAAGAACTTAAGGCTATACTAAACACAGTTAGAGTATAGGCTATAGAGCTACACAGAATAGTAAAACTTTTTTGCATTATAATAAACTATGTAAACCTAGTTATGTTTTTAACTATAAAAAAGCTATTACTAATGCACATATAATAGGTAATAAAGCTTGCATAATTTAACTACATTATTAAACACATTCTAGGAGCGCAAAACTAGCAGGCTAACGCTCTTAGCTAAAGACTAGATTACTTTAATAAAAAATAAAAAAAACTAAAAAGTTTACCTTTTTTAAAGAAACTAATAAAGAATAAATTTATAATAAACTTTAACTTATAAAAGAACTTTACATGCTTACAGTAAATAAGCAGAGATAAAAAAATGTAATTTAGAAATACTACAAATCTCTAATGTTTAGACACCTAGGAATAAGCACCCTCTAGAAGAAACTAAGGACTGCTATACTACGCTAAATACTAAAAGTAAAGCAACTGTGCACTAAGGTGCTTAGAGAATGCAACATCTATAATAAAAATAACTTATAAAGGCATAAAACTTATAGATACTTTTATTTAATTAAAGCACTAAAACTACTATAAGTAATAATTATAATAGATATTATTATAGAACTACCCCTATCTAAAGAACTAGAAATAGAAAGGATGTGTAACATAATTATAGTAGCTTTTAATAAAACTACTAAATATCTGCATATCTAGCCCTTAAAAAAATAATAACAGCTAAAAAATTTATTTATAAATTAAAATAAAATATAATATTAGTATATAAATGCCTTAAGATTATTATTTCTAACTAAGATAAGCCATTTACTAGTAGATTTTAGAAAGCAGTAATACAGCACCTTAGTACAACACACAAACTGTCTATAGCCTACTACCTGCAAATAGACAGCTAGACTAAGAGAGTAAACACTAAAGTAAAAAAGTATCTTAGAAAGTATGTCTTCTACACTTAGTATAATTAGGTAGAATAGCTCTTAATAGCATATTTAGCTATTAATAATATAGAATTAGCTATAATAAAAAAAACACTATATAAAGCTAATTTTAAATATAACTTTTACTTTACACTATAAGAAAACTAACCTATAGACTTATAAAAGTTAATAGACTAGTTATTAAATTTATAAAGTATATATAAAAGGTTAGTAATAGAAGCCTAATCTAGTAAAAAAATAATAAAAAAATATGCAAATAAATTATAGTAACTAAGACTAAAAATCTGCTTAGAAGACTACACATATTTTAATACTAAGAACCTTAAGATATCTAGACCCTCTAGAAAGCTAGTAAAAAAAAATAAAACTATATAAAGTCCTTTAAACTTAATAAGATAATTATAAACTTAAGCTTCCCCTACATATAAAGATACACCTATAGTTCTATGTCTCTAGACTAGAAAAAGCACCTAAAGAAATCCTCTTATCTATATAAAAATAAAAAGATAAAGAAATAAAGTATAAAGTTAAACATATTATTAGTAATTAAAAAAACTAAAAGAAATTTTTAGTAAAATAAAAAAAGTAGCTTACTAGTAAAAATACATAAAAACTAGCTAAAAATCTATAGAATGCACAGCTGTTAGTATAAAAGTACTTTTAGGCTTATTTAAAAGAAACTAGCTAAGTAATAAAGCACTTATATTAAAAAAAACTACTACATTATTACTAGATAGCAGCAGCTTTTAAAGACAAGTCTTAGCTAATAAAGGCTGTAAAAAAGAACAGCCTTTTACTTTAGCCTTAAAAGCTTTTATTTTATCTAAGAAAAAAAGTTCCTTTTTTAAGTACTTTACACGCTAAGCTTTTAATAGATCTAGTAATTTTTAAATATAATCTTGTTTAAAACACTTTTTAGCTAACACTTCTAAAGTTTTTTAAACCTAACACAACATCTTTTTAGCTAGCTCTTACTTATAAGCCTTTATAGTAGTAGCTTTTTAAAAAAGTGTCTTTCTTTTCTTCTTTAACTAATTTTAAGTAGTGTTAGAAATAAAAGTATTATACTTACTATACTTTTTTACACACTTAACACATTTATTTAAAGATAAAGTTAATATATAAAATAACCTTAAAAATTAGTAAGCACTATAGGGCCTTATCTTTATCTAATAAAAAGAATTAAAGTAAAAGGTAGTATAAGAATAGAAAAACAAATAAAACTAGTAAGCTATTTAGTTTAAAAAAATAAATGTTAAAAATACCTTTTAGTAGGTAAGTGCTTACTTTATAAATAAACTTTTACTAATATAGTTATGTAAGCAGAGCAGTAAGAACGCTGCTAGAAAGGAGGGGCAGCGTGTTACAGTCTATAGTTAGACTAGCATAACTCTACTAGCAGTGCTCTATAATCTAGCTAGATTAGAGCAAGGCTTGCTTATAAACTAGCTAAAGGACGCAAAGGCAGCGCAGCTACCTGCAGTAATAGAAGAATGCGTTGTTTAATAGGAAGGCAGGCTATAAATCTAGGGAGCTTAAGAGAGCTTAAAAAGCTCCTTTTAGTAAACTTCTATAAACTTCTTCTACTCCCCTTAGCGCCCTTAGTATATGTATATAGTTCCTACATTAAATAACCTTTAGAAGGTGTGTTTAATGTTTAGTTTATTCTTTATATAAACTAAGTAGTATTTAGCTTTTTAAAAAGCTGTAATACTATTTATATATCTTACACTATATATACCTTTAACTTTGTTTAATAGGACTGTTTAACCTAGCCTTTTTACTGCTGCATTAAGGGCAAACTATAATCTAGTCACTCTACTCCCCTCTATTAGCCTACTAGCCTGTACGTAGGACTGTACACCCTACCAGTTGGCCCCTACTATCCGCCCTACTTCCCCCCCCCAGGGATACCATAAGACTCGAGTGCTTCTAGGAAGCAAGGATTGTAACAATAATATAAATTACATAAAAAAAGTAAATTTAAGTAAAAAAGACTTTAATAGTTAAAAATAAGGCTTATCTAACTACTTTAAAGAAGTTTAGAGTGTGTAGTAATAAAAAGAAGCTAAAGACATAAGTGTGCGCTAAAAAAGGTAAGCTAAGTTAAAAGTAATATAGGCAGTGTAATTAGACTAAGCATAACTTATATATATGTAAAAAGGTAGTAGAAGTAGATTTAAAATAATATCTTATGTTATATTGCTTTATATAGGGCTAAAGTAGGCTATTTTGCGCTAGAATAGGGTAGTTTTAGTAGGGGCTTAGCAAAAGTGGCCGGCCAACCTGTGTGGCCGGCCAACCTGTTAGGTACGTTAGCTAATTCTAAATGTTTATGTTCCACCTCGCCCAAATATTACGTTCGCATTGTTGCTTCCGCGCCTGATTTGTACAGCGCCCTGTGTCGTGGCATAACAGGCTTCCCTTCCCATAGCGTTAACCGCAAGCCTTTTCGCTCCAAGTTTTTGTAGAATAGCCTGATCCTACTCTCACGACCTCCCTCTAATACTAGGAAGTCATCATCAGCCCTATGCGCGCTGTGAGGCGCAATTTCATGCAGGGCAGCCCCGTCAATCAGTACTTCCATCGGAGGCGAACTACTGATCCTGGCTAATGCGAGATGACCCCGCACGTCTTACCTTATGCATTGGTATGGTATTTTATTGTACGATATGTGGCTGTGCAAGCTGCTAAGCGCTCGGATTATCTCTTAGTCCGACACAGGATTGGGAGCAGTTTTTAGACTTAAGGGCACGGCACTTGTTTAGTTAGCCAACGCGTCTCAAGCGTCGCAACCACTCGACACGGCCATCGTACAGTACAACTTCAAGATCCGGCCCAACGCACAGCGATATGGACTTTTGGAACATAGAGCCATGCCATTTACATCGTCCTTAAGCTGCGAAACCCTCCGGCATCCCTTCCGCTGACCGAACGAAAGACCTGCTCAAGCCACCACGTCCTCATGCTTCTCGAGCCGACCGGCGCCGATTCCTAGACCAAGCAGCAGCCGAGGTGTAGTATCGGCTCGTTGAAGGGGAATACAGTCATACGGTCAGATAGAGTGGGGGAGGCACTAGAAATCGAAGGCTGCACCTCGGCGAGTGGGTTTAGTGCCACAGGCCGCACGCCATTGTTGCAAACACATTCGAAGGTGGGAAGGCCCTGCATGCTCCGGCGATACAGCTGTCGTACGGCCAAACAACCAGCAGCTGCATACATAAAGCACTGCCATTTCTAGGGCCGTAGAGGCATGCTTCAGTTCGACCTAGGAGGGTAGTGAGGAGTTTTAGATTGTTCATGGTGGCCATGCTTAGCAAGACCTTACGCCATCTACAGCTGCATACAGCACTCTTCTCTTCAGCCATATTTACAAACCATCGCCTCCAGCGCAACCCTATGGCCGGTGCGGTTCGGCCATCCTCCCTGCTAGCGGTGGCAACTCGAAGTACCATCTCACATACGCTGCAACTCACAATGATTTCTAAGCGAACTGCGGTACTTTAGCTATGCTACTTTTGTGCTACGTTTAGCCTGCCGCTTTAGAGACCATCTGCTTGCCACACCTATCTCTTGCTAGACATTCTGCTTGCTAGTTTCCATGGCCTCTAACTGCCATGTTGCAAGAGCTTCGCGAGATGATATAGTAAAGGGGTGTTGAGGACCCAAAACTTCTGTCCGCAGCCTGCAGCAGTTCTCCATCAGAGATATCGCTCTAATTATAAGTCCCTGACCCTTTAATGTAAATGCGAGATTGTTCATGCTGGTCAGCGTGTCTAGATGCTCCTCCCCAAGCACCCTCTTTCTCGTCTCCATCACTTGCACGTCCAGCTCTTCGGCCTCTTTCCATCGCCCGGCGAGCTTTTCTGCCAGCCCTACCATTGCCATACTGTTTATCGTGTCTCTATGTTCTTTCCCAAGCAGCTTTTTCCAAACCTTCATTGACTTTACGGACAGTTTCCCTGCATCACCTACATTTCCTTTCTGCCACGCATACCACGCTGCATTGTACAACAATAGAGCCCACTGTCGGAGCGATTCCTCAGACTTAGGCGGCTGCAATAGCGCTGACTTGGCGTGCGGAAAGAGCGCCTGGCACTGGACCTAGTTTTGTGATCCCTTGTTGGAAATGTTGCGCAAAGATTGCGAATATACTGCTCCTTCCACCTTCAAGTTGGCCATGCTTTTCTAACCACTTCCGCGTAGCCAACTGCGCGAGCCCATGCATATCAAACGTGCTAACGTGGGTGGTAACCTTGCATTCCTCTGCAGCAAGTTTTCCCTCCGTATCATCCTTCTTAATCATCGGCACCCGTGTGAATGAGCTGGTCCGTCCTGGCACTCGCTACGTGAAGGAACCTCACGTGTCTTTAGCAGCTAGGCGCTGCATTCCAGGGAGAACTTTGGCAGTCTTAAAGTTAGAGGAAATCCGATCTTTCTCCAAAGCCCTTGGGGTGACTCATTTCGGTGAATCATGTCCGGACCCGTTCAAACCCGAATCTTGTGCCTTGTCCACAATGCGTCGGAGATGGTTCTGCAAATAGCGAGCCTAATATCTTTCTCGTCGTAGTCCTGTACGGTCATACCGTCCAATAAAACCCACGGCGTAAGGCAATGGTACTCATTCTCTCTCGCTGACATTCTCGCGAATATAGCCGACATGCCATCAACCTGGCGCAGAATCTCATTGCTGCCAATCACGTTGCGGATGTCGGGCTGCATAGAGAAGTCGATGATTTGAGCCGCAACACCTGCGGCAATGATAGTTGAGAAAGATGTTCCGTTTAGAGGTTTTGTGTTTGGCAGTTGAATACCTTCACCGAGAATGGCGAAATTGTATGCTGAATCCATGGGAGCAGGGTTGAATTCGCAAGTTGGCTTGGCACCAGCCGTGGTGGAGAATAAACAGAAAAGGTCGGAGAATCGGGAGAGCCATGCGGGAAAGTAGATTCCAGCAGTGTTTCCGTAGTTTGAGGCGGCCGCAAAGATGAGAACTTTAGAAGGTTTGGCGTTCGAGATGGCGTTCGTGATTGGTCGGTATTCCGACTCAAATCCAGATGGTAGGCAGACTACGTCTACTCCCCATCCTTTCGTTTTGCATATCGCGTGCTTGATTGCCTGACCAGATTATTAGCTCGGTGTCCATAGAAATCTCCTTGTAGACGAACATTTTCCATGTATTTCTTTGTTTCGGGAGTTGCATCCTTGGTCTCGAAGACTCGTCCAACATATATGTCTGCATTTTCATATACCTTCTGGAGCAGGCGAACACATGATGTTCCATGATCAGTACGATCCTGCCTTATATTATCATTACCGGACACGAAGTCTTTGTAGTCTTTGATGTTCTTGGTGGAGGACTGATCGTTCTGGTAGTATGCTTCTTGGACCCCTGTATCTAGGATAGCTATTTTAACGACTCTCGAATGCTCGTCTCTATTGCGCTGGGATATCTTGAGTACATCGTTCAAGTCGTCCAGCTTCGCAAACCAATCGGTCGATGTGAAAGGTCTGCAGCATTTGTTTCATTAGCATGTTTCCCGGACCACAGAATTTGAGACTCACGAATCTGCACTCATGGTCGTCCCTATCTGAGACCTTGAGCCGTCAGTACCAGCGACGCTATTTATTGATATTAGGACAGTTCTAGCGGAAGGAGATGATCCGTACGTACATCATGCGCGCTGCTGATGACGAAGCTCTGAAGGTGTTCGAATATGTCGCTTCACAATTAGCTTCACCTGCTTGTAGCAGATCAACCGGCGCGCCATGTTGCGCTGCAGGGGAATGTGAGGGTGGCGCATTGTGGATCACTACTGATTCTATCCTCTGATAGTCCGCATCGGACCAAGCCAATGTCATGAACGCCTTGAAAGGGCCAACCACTCTTCGGTAGAAGTTATGTCGCAGGTCTTCCTCTACATTGCCAAGAACTTCCGTGTCGGCCTTTATACATATCTCGATAGATTCTTTCACAGGCTTCCAAATGTCTTTTGGTGGCCAAAAATCCTGATCATTGAGCACCTTGGTGGCCATATTGTGTCGTATGTTGACAATATCTGAATCTTCGCCGGCTCGGGATGTCAGACTCTCGAGTTTGCGATCTAGTTCAATTTCGAGTAACATGATGCCAAGGGCGAGTAGTTTTGGGTACTGATGTGTCCTTGTCCGTACTTTAGTATCGTGGCTTGTTTTTCGAAATTTCTTTTTCCGGCTTGAAGGTTTGCTTGGTTCTGTCAATTGTCCCATTTTATCGCCATGGTCGCTCTTGTTGAATCGAGCCTGAAGAAACGGTTCGTGAATGGAAATGGCCTTTGGATAACCATCAACCATGTTGAACATGAAATAAACAGATTCTTTGCTCCAGTAATCCTGCATCCAGTCCGATTCGCAATACTGCCAGAACGTCCGTATCAGAAGAAAGGAAAGCGAAAGCTTCATCTTAGCGCCCAGTTTCCCGGTTCCTATTAGATCATCTAGGGTAATACCCATAGAGCTCCTCAGAAATGACCTCTCCGGTTGATTAGACTTTTGCAGCTTGAAGTCTGTGGCGTATTCAAACCTATATTGGGCCACAGTGCGTTGCGCGAGATACTGACAAAGCTCGTCCGTCTCATTCTCATCGGAAGAGGAAGTTTGATCCGTGTCTCCGGAACCATGCGAGGCGTCCTCTGCATTAGGAAAGCAGTCTTCCTGGAAATCCTCCAACGGTTCCGAGAGATTCGGAGTCCGGCCAGAAGGAACATTAAATGCGACTTGTTTCCTTTTCGAGACGCAGACTTGGAGGTCTTGCCAATGGCAATGCGTCGCCGAATCGTCTGGTGTACCCTTTTCGTTGATCATAACGAAAAGTCCAAAGCAAAGAGTATCATCTTCTTTGGAAAGTTCCCACCAATTCAATCGAAGATTGACAACTATTGATTTCCAGTCGTATGAGCACCTATCAGGCATGAAATGTTGAGACAGAGCATCATAAAGCTGTAGTACAAAGCTCTGATTGTCTTCGAGATCTTCCTTCGATGTAGCAAGTTTCATCAACTCTGATAGATCTGGGTCCTCCGATTCGCTCTCAGGTGCCGATAGAGCGTTAAATGCATTAATCATGTTTTGCCATAGTGTATTGGCTGCTTTATCACGGCGTGGAAATGATTTTGCGCTTGCAAATTGGACTAACACGGCCTTGACGGATTTGCGAGATTCTAGTAGTGATTTGAGAGCGGGGTATTGGCATGCGCTGAAATCAGCTCTGGCTTCGCGGGTGTACGAGGATGCTGCGGGATTTGACCACTGCATATGTGGTTAGTAAATGTCCTAATCTATAGTAAAAAAGTGGGAAATAAGCCAGATTTAGGCCCGCGTTAGACGCAACTAGGCCAACAACTTGCTTTCCAGTTCAACGCACACGGGCAACTCGACGGCGCCTTGAATGGGCACTATTGACTTGGACTTCTGCCGGGCCATGGTGTCGATCTAGTGTGATTGAGGCACTCAGATGCTAGTCCTGCATCCGCACGAAACATTTACATTATCTTGCCAGGATAATAGCAACACGAAAACTGCTGGATAGCAAGGCTCTTACCTGGCACAAATCCTCCCAGCAGTTTAGGAGGGTTAGAAGTCGATTCTGATGAGATCGATGCGGCAGGCCATTCAGATACTCGGGCACAGACTGGAGGAATGAACAGAAGACGCCTTTGAACAGCATAACGCCTGGTGCATCTGGCCCCGGTGTTAGTTGAGCGGCCTCTGACTGTAACTTCTGCGCGACAGCCTGAGCGAACCCGGGTAGGGAATCGAGGTCTGCGGGCTGCGGTGGCGACGACTCTTCCACTTTTGGGATCCGTGGTGAGACCGGTCGGACCAAGTTCGTGAAGTAGCTGAGCATAATGGAAGCATGAGCATCTCATGTCAACATGCCGGCGTCGAGGGTAGGCTACGCGGACCGCCAGCTGATGGTGCAGGCTGAAATGGAGATGGGAGCTGGTCCGTGTGGGCGCTAACGTGGGCGCTAACGCAGGCCGGTTCACGGATATCAGCGGGGCAGGGGCTGGTTTCGATGCCGTGCGGTCTACTTCGTTGCAATAACTTGTTGGCCGACGATGACTCTCACCTCCCCGTGGTGTCGGCTGGGAACCTGTAAATGCCTTGCGCCTGGGTATTTTACAGAGCTAAGAAGAGTCAATACTGGCCAGCACCGTCAGCTGGTCAGGGCTACTGGTGGACGAGCCATCGCCGGCCCAACCATCAACAAGCGACAAGGGAACACTTTGAAAACCATCCGACACACGATTGCGAGTCGATCCTACAGTCGATAACGCCTAGGTCGTGGGATAGGACACCTTTGGGGTGCTCTCGGGCTGCTCTGTCGGAAGGAGGATATCGCCGGATAAGAGCAACAACGTACGGAAACGCATAGGTCAAAACGAATAGGTCAAGACGAACAGGTCAAGACGAACAGGTCAAAACGCACGCGAACGACACGATCCGGCACGCTTGAATCTACGCAGAGAACGACGAGACACCTTGGTTAGTAGGAGGGACAACACTATGTTGCTTGGCTGTTCTGGGTACAGAGGGGATACAAGTGGGCGAACTCCTGCGAGACACGGTCGGCCTTATTGGGGAGATCTTACAAGGCAGCGCGAAACAGATTAACAGTCTGCGGGGCGCAGCATATAATGGAAGCGACGGAAGACTGGGTAGGCGGACCGCAGTTACGACACTTTCTGTATGGCTCGAGAAGACGGGCGCGCGTGTCAGTCTGCTAAGAGGACGGAATCCTGAGGATAGCCATCAAGGATAGAGTCTTTAGGCTGGCTGTTAAAGTATGCTTAAGGTGCACACTGGTATTAACTTGCTAGCTAGCTGTACCCCGCAAGAGGCGGATATAGATTAAGGCGGCTATGCAAGGCAGAGGGTCTATGTAAGTGGACATGCTGCCACCTCTGCAATGTATTATCTTAGATATATACAAATCAATACTTGATCAAGGCAGCGGAAACAGCGGAGTGCGAGTGCGGGCTAATCAAATCGATCCCGCACTTTCTCTTCTGCTGCAGGAGGTGGGAAAGGCCGAGACAGAAGCTCCGGATGCAGCTTGGAGAGCGATTCGGAGACCTTTCGTACACGCTTGGGGGATACTCGAGCCGACAGGAAGGAGGCGAAAGCATCGACGGGCCGATAGAGCGATGGAAGCCAGACATAGAGGTGGTGCGAGCCACGATCCAGTTCGCGATGGACACGAAACATCTACAGTCAGTTAGCAACGACACAGCAAGGGCAGAAACAGACAACAACGAGCGACAACGTCTAGGAATTCCGATATCTATTTTATAACCAAGTCAGTGGCGAGCCGCCGCCCTACGAACCCTCCGCCAGCGCGCTGCCGATTAAGAGGCGCACGACGCCAGAATTGCCCTGCGGATGGAGGATCCCGGAAAACAAGCCAGCTCCTATCAACTTCTTCTCAATCACAGCATACGGTAGCGTATCACTTTTCTTTCTTTCCTATGTTGAGCATGGTGTTAGATAGGCGATCAGCAGGTCTCACGGTTAGCTTCTGAACTAGATAGAGCAGGTGGATGATAACAGAATGTACATAGCTGGCGCATCGTAACGGCCCATACCCGCAGGGTGCATGGCCATAATAGAATACACACACACACACACATTGTCCCCCCGTTTTTGAGCTTTGTCCCCCAGATTTCGACGTGTCAACTTGAACCTTATGCGGCTCACCATCAACACGGGATAAATTTTTTTGTAAGTATTACAATAATCTTTAGAGCATGTTAAATCTTGCCTGCTGATTTAAAGCATCAAAATTGGCCCGCGTTGTGGTCAAGTTGCGCGTGGAAATAAATTGGTGACTTGTTCGAAGTAGTCGCGGACTTCAACTCCAGATGTCTCAATACCCTCGCTATCAGGAATTCTTATTTTGATATGGAAGATAATCCATAGCATATATAATATATAGCCAGCTTTTAAACTAAAAATTACACTTGATATTGTGGTGGAATTGCGCTGTGAAATTTGGAGTTGCGATTTTCGGGGGGGGGGAATCACGCTAGCCTATTTAAACAAGCAATCAAGCAATACAGGATATGAAGCTTATAATAAATATGGTTTTAATTTCAAGAAAAGCTGTTACTAGCTTCCTAACCTGAGCTTGACCTGTAACGAATTGTTGCACGCAGGTGGGGCTGAAGGACCAAGCGCCAAGCTGAACTGCCCCGCAAACGCTTAAGGTTGTGAATCCTGTCGTTACAAAAGCAGCACCTGGCCATCAAACACAAAGCCCCATCCTATGTCGCATTGACATTTCGCTAACAACAATGGAGAATTGCTGGTTTCGCTTGAAACAAACCCACTTTCCGCCCCCGACGCTGCCGACTGACACCAATGGCGTGGGCAAAGGCAATGGCGCCATCTGTCCCGGCCACATCATGGCGAGTCTGAAAGATTTGGATCACATGGACAGCATCATCAACCGATCGATCGAAGGATTTATGTTCACGCCCGCGGTCCCAGTATACACGACCGGAGCGTGGAAGATGGAGTGGAAGGAAGGGGGGATGCATCAAGCCGGAGTCTCTGGTATGTTACCTTGAGATATAAGTTGTAGGCCAGTCTAGGCCTCAAACAGGTCTTGTTTAGCTTAGTAACTTATGCCCTAACGTTAATTTAGCGGATACCAACGTTCCCATTGCGGAAGTCGCAGGCTTGTCAGCCCAAGCGAAAGTTGCTCTAGCATTCAAAAATTCAGTCCACAATTACCGTGCTTTTAACAAGTTGGACCGTTACATCATTGCACCAACAAGGGGATATATTAAGGATGTGCTTGAAGATAAGGAGGTGGAAAGTCACATCGAAAGAAGCAAGACTTTAGGCGCCTGGTCCATTATCATGATAACGGGCGTTGCAATTGCCCGTGGCTCTCGGGGATCAAGTTCCGAGAATCATGGGAGATCTGGAACTCTGGGCGGGGGAGTGTAAGTCTGGGACGTTGCTTGTTGACTTTTAGTATATTTACGGCTAACAAAACCTTCGGTAGGAACCTCGCGGACACGGTATCAGGAGATCTGGCTACCACTGCGGCTTCTCAAAGCGGAACTTCAATGTCAACGAGCACCGAGTCCGACTTCGTGTGGGCTGTTCGAGTCAGTAAAATCTGGAAGGGCACATTAGACCGGACATGGTCTTTCCGCACACAGTCAAAGGGTGCCACGTTCTCGCTAGAGGACGAAGAGCGCAAGAAGGACAATGTCGCCCAAGTCCTGGAGGCCGAAGGGACAGGCGAGGCAGAGAAGATCTGGCTCGGTGATGGGGACGAGTTCCTAGTGTTCTAATGGGGAGATTGATCATGTATCTTCAGACACAGTTAGCGTTATACCCGGCTTATATCTTCATGCATTTCCCACGTAAGCCCTTGGTTGATGTTGTGGCGGCAGTGGGAAGGTGTATTGAGCTGTATTTTTCTACGAGAGTTGATACATGAGGTGGCTTTTATGCTTGCTTTCCTCGGGGTCCGAGAGGCCCGCATATCCATGGCCTCCGAGGCTTCCGTACAGAGCTTCAACGTCAAACAGCCTTATTACCATCAAATATTACACTATCTCTACCGCCAAGCCCTCTCTCCTATTAGTCTGGATATAAGCCGGTTATTAATCTAATTAGTAGAAAATTAAATAACTAAAAAGCTTTATTGTTTTATATTTTTAAGCTTTAAGTAATTATTCTGCTCTACTACATGCTTAATTTAGCTTTCTTTTTTTTCTATTATAATTAAAGACAACGCAGTTAAGGGTGTTAAAATTACTTTTACTATGTAGTTTTTCCCTCTAAATATAATTAGCGCTGCTAAGACTTTTTAAGTAAAGCCTATTATAGGCAAAAAGAGGGGTTTTAGAGGTGTCTTCCTAGTTAAGCAAAATAGCAGTGTGACTTTAGGCCTAGCTGCTATTTAAATAAAAGGACTTTAGCTTTAAATTTACTTAAACTTATTTTAATTTTTTTTAACTTAGATATTATCTACTTTAATACTTTTATAGCTTTAGTTAACTCTTTTTATTTTACTTTATAGTAATAATAAGTTATAGTAAGCTACTATGTTATAGTAAGTATATTTATTTATTTTATGTTCTTTAATAACTTTTACTTAAGATTATAAAGGCCTTAAGATTACACTTAATATAGTATTAAACTAATACTAAACACTTTTAACTATTTTTTTTTCTTTAGGCTATAAAGCTATACTAATTAACTCTAAATTAAAAGAATATTTATATACTACATACTATTATATAGAGAGTAAGGGCTTAAAGGTGTTTTATTACTTAAAATAATAAGTTTAGATAAGTTAAATTTTTTTTTATATAAAATTTTTCTTAAAAGTTTTTAGCCTAATTAAGTCTTTTTATCATCTTAATAAAAATGCTATTTTAAAGAAAACTATTTTTTTAAAGACTTTAAATAATTAAATTTATTTAGTATAGTATAAGCATTACTATATAAACTTATTACTTACTTTTTACTTAGTTTATAATAACTATAGGCCCTTTTCTAACTTTTTTACTAATAAAGTTAAAGCTTTTTATTACTAGTGCAATAGATATAGTTATGCAGTATATTACTTTATTATAAATACTATTTTTTTTACACTTATATTTAGTTCTATTTAGGTATATTAGCTACTTACTAATATTAACTTAAATGCATAACTTTTAAAACATATTTAACTTAGTGCTGCTTTTATCTAGACCTACACTTTTTTTATTTAATTAAGTTGAAGTTAAAGCTAACTTACTTAAGCTAAGTGCAACACTATATTAAGTAGAATATTAGTACTTAATTATTTATTTTAAATATATTAAGACTTTTTTAAGTTTTTTACACTTTTTTTTTACTTTTTTTATGCTATTTATTTAGATTTACTAATATATATAATTAACTTTTTTTAAGTTTTTTACACTAACTTTTACTCTTCCTACACTGTTTATATGTATATAGTGTAATATATAGCTAGCCTTATAAAAACTTATTAATTTTTTACTATTTTTATACACTTTAGATTAGCCTGCTTTATTTTTATTTATATATAAAAATTAAAAGTAACTTAAAGCTAGTCTTTTATAAAATAATTTACTAAAGGCATATATTATTACTACTATAACTTATATTGCTTTTATAAACTTTAGTCTATTATAGAATTCTATTAGTAGCTATTCTAACTATAGTGCTTTTTACTAGTTTAAAAAGTAAGTTAATAAAAGTTAAGTAAATTTTTCTTAGTATTTTATATATTATTTAATAAGTAATATTAACTTTTTTACTTTTTTAAATATACCTTTATTTTTATGTTGTTTATTATAAAGTAGGCACCTACTTAGTAAATTTTTTTAAAACTATTTTTAATTTTATAACACAGCCTTAGCTTTTATGTTAGCTAACTATAAATAAATAAATTAAAGTGTGTGTAGTATAAAAGTAAAAGTTTTTTAGATTATAAAAAAGATATACTATATGCACAGCTTATTAAAGCTTACTAAGAGTAACATTTTTTTCTACACACAGCTGTACTTTTATAATCCTATGTAGGCAAATAGTGTGTATATAGAGCATTAGGCTAATAGTAGTTTTAATCTAACTATACTTACATAGCTACTATAAATAGTTAAGACAGATTATAATAATTTTTAGATTAAAATATATAAAACTATATATAAGTAGTTATAGTAAGCTTAACGTACTTTATAGGCAAGTTGCTTACACACCTAAGTTACTTACTTTTACTAAGACCCTACTACACTACTTTTCCTATACTAATGCATTTCTAATAACACTACTTAAATGTGTTAAAGAAACATTAGATGCAGCTTACACTTTAGGCTTTTAAAAAAAATGTAATACTTTTTAAGTAACATGCTGCAGCTATCTATAAAGTCTTTTAAAAAATAATAAGTAACTAACACACTAGACAACCTTTTTAAGCTAATTATATAGCTAACTTATAAAAGCTAGATAATAATAAAAAGCAGGTAATTATTTAGCACATACTTAAGCTAGATGCGCAAGGATTTCCCTCCTAGCTAGTAGCTGTAGCTAATATAGCTAATTCTTTACATGCTAAGTGTAATATAGGCTATATTAGCATAAACTAGCTTAATATATTTATTAAGTGTTACTTAAAGCTTAAAGTAAAGTTTAAGTGTAAGTATAACTATAAAAAAGCTTTTTATAAAAATTCTATAGTAATTTAAAGCTAGTTTAACTTTATAAAGAATATTAAAGCTAAGTATAGCATCTAGAATAATAATATATACAACTTTAATAAAATAGAGTTTATAATAGGCTAGATATCTACTAGAGTAGTTATTATAAGTTTAGAGAAATAAAGACAGCTAAAAGTAGTCTAGCTAGGTAACTAGGAGTAGACAACAGCTATCTAGAGCATTAACGCTAAAAAGTAGGCTATTCTGCTTTTCATTATTTTTTAAAGTAGTAACTACTTTTTAAACTAGTATAAAAAGAAAAATCTATTTTAAAATTAGGTTATTGTAACAATTCTTGTTCCATCTCAGGTCGCCTAGAACCTCTAGAAGGCCCCTGTATCAGCCCTGACCCTGACCTAGCCCCAACCCCTGCTGTACCCCTATTCCTTCATGTATTTAGTCGCACCTCGCCCCTGTAGCTAGCTTAGTAGTTTTCTGATATCCTACGTACAAGGCCTATAGGTGTTATTAGTATTCCTAGGTCTCTAAGTCCCTACGCACTCCTATATGCCTCTAAGTGGATTTATACTGCATTTAGACCTATTGTCTTGCCTGCGCTGTTATAGTTATTATAATCTCTAAGCGCAGCTAGACTACTAATTAGCTTAGTTTAGACTAGTTAAAGCACTTTAACGCACATATAAAGAAGTGTACTATTAGCAGCTACTGTCTACTAGTTATTAATAGCTATAAAAGCTATAACTTACTTTATTTTTAGTAATATTATAAAGATAATAAAATTATTACTATTTATATACTTTTTTACTTATTACACTTTTTATAGCTACTTAATATAGGTTGTTTTACTTCTTTAAAAAAGGTATATAAGCGCTAAGCTAAAAACTTTATACATAATTAAATTACTTATATTATAAAAATAAAGTTTCTACTATGCTTTAAAGCAGCTTATAATGCTACAATTACTTTTAGTAATATCTAAAAAAAGTTCTAAAGTGCTAGATTAGTTCCTTTTAACTTATAATAAGTTATAATAGGCTTTAATATAAAGTT